GCCTGGAGACTGGAAAGCGGCCTGGAAGCGGGGTGGGGGGGGGTGCCCGGAGCGCCAGTAACCATCACTGGCTACTTGTCACCAGGCGTTACCGGCCACACACCTCAGGCCACAGCTGAAGACTCTCTACGAAGGCAGAGCTTTGCAGGGTTATTTTAAAACCAACATCACCCTTCGGTATCTGAACGGCTCCAGCGGGAAAGAACTCGAACGCGTCTTTCCACGAACTCCCCGGAAAGAATTCCTGAATATTTTTTACGCTCGCTCTGGCGTAATCGCAAGCTTCCTTGACCTGAACTGGAAATAAAGACAAATCGCACGATCATCATCATTCAGGGACGTACCAGGGAAGTCTCTTCCGAAGGAGCCGGGCAAGATCGTTCCGTTTTCGATCAACTACGCAGAAAAGCAGTCCACAAGAAGAGAGGATATTTTACTGGACAATAAGCTATCGAAATCACTAGCGACAAAGGCCCCTCTCCCGGAGCCCTGATGGCAGGGCCAATACTCTGCCAGGTGCTTTGCAAACACCTGTGAAATAGAACCACGGTCCCCATTTGTCACACAAGGAAATAGAGGTTCTGAGAGATTAAGTGACAGACCCGAGGTCACCAGGTGAGTGACATCTGAACCCCACGATCGCTCCCCACATTCTCCTGCTTTTCTCTGACGTTTGCTCAATTAACTTTAAATACTGAACAGCGTGGGCCAAGTCAGGAAGTTTTTTAAAGAATGCACGCTAGCTCCATCAGAGGTAGAACAGGAAGAAGAGACTTTAAAACACCTCCCGTGGATGGGGTGCCTGGGGGGCTCAGGTCATGATCTCACGGTTCGTGAGTTTGAGCCCCGCATCGGGCTCTGTGCTGACAGCTCGGAGCCTGGAGCCTGCTTCCGACTCTGTGTGTGTGTCTCTCTCTGCCCCTCCCCTGCTCACATGCTGTTTCTCTCTCAAAAATAAATAAACATTAAAAAAATAAATTAAGGGGCGCCTGGGTGGCTCAGTTGGTTAAGCGTCCAACTTCGGCTCAGGTCATGATCTCACGGTTTGTGGGTTTGAGCCTCTCGCTGGGCTCTGTGCTGACAGCTCAGAGCCTGGAGCCTGCTTCGGATTCTGTGTCTCCCTCTCTCTCTCTGTCCCTACCCCTGCTCATGCTCTGTCTCTTTCTCTCTCAAAAATAAATAAATGTTAAAAAAAAATTTTTAATAAAAATAAAATTAATTAAATACATAAAGGATAAGCAATCTAACTGCAAAAGCAAACTGGCAATTTTCAGAACAATTAGGGATGATGGACAAACATGAAATACTGTTCCCTTTCCCTAAAGAAGGGTACAAATCAAGAATATAAAACATTTTTTAAAAAATTTTTTATGTTTGTTTTTGAAAAATAGGGAAACGGAGCATGAGCGTGGGAGGGGCAGAGAG